AAATATATATATATATATATGTATGTATATATATATAATATATATATGATATATATATATATATATATATATAATATATATATATATATATAAATATATAAACACTGATCTCTGGCTGAAGAGACTCGAACCTACGAACCTTAGGACAAGGTACGCAGTGCTTTACCAATCTACCCACACAGTGTGGGTAGATTGGTAAAGCACTGCGTACCTTGTCCTAAGGTTCGAAGGTTCGAGTCTCCTTCAGCCAGAGATCAGTGTTTGTGTATATTTCGCATGCTCTCGCGAATTCCTTGCATATATATATATATATATATATATGTATATGTATATATATATATATATATATGTATATATATATATATATATATATATATATATATATATATATATAATATTCAACATTTACACATAGCAAAAAATCAGATTGAATCGACATTGAGTTTTGTCTCATCAATAATTCACTGAATCTCGCCACTGCTTCACTGTAGCCCATCAAAGATTCACCATGTCTCATCACTGCTTCATTGTTCCTCATCAGTGATTCATTGTGATGACTTGATGTAAATTCCTCAGAGTATTTACTCCCTCGCTGACTGACAACCGAACTCAATGTTTTCCACCCGGTAATTTCTCTGAACATTTTAAATTTTGTCGCAGCTCTCAAGCGAGAGGAAATTGGATAAGAAATGCAGCTGGGTGAAGCCTTACTTAAGTTGTATGACAAAGTGGGGAAGTGGTACAGATGTCTAGTTACTGGTAGAGAAAACTCAGTAGAGGGACTTGAAACAGATGTGAGGTTGGTAGAGGGACTTTAAATAGATGTGAGGTTGGTGGAGGGACTTGAACCAGATGTGAGGTTGGTGGAGGGACTTTAAATAGATGTGAGGTTGGTGGAGGGACTTGAACCAGATGTGAGGTTGGTGGAGGGACTTTAAATAGATGTGAGGTTGGTGGAGGGACTAGAACCAGATGTGAGGATGGTGGAGGGACTTTAAATAGATGTGAGGTTGGTGGAGGGACTTGAAACAGATGTGAGGTTGGTGGAGGGACTTTAAATAGATGTGAGGTAGGTGGAGGGACTTGAACCAGATGTGAGGTTGGTGGAGGGATTTTAAATAGATGTGAGGTTGGTGGAGGGACTTGAACCAGATGTGAGGATGGTGGAGGGACTTTAAATAGATGTGAGGCTGGTGGAGGGACTTGAACCAGATGTGAGGTTGGTGGAGGGACTTGAAACAGATATGGAGTTGGTGGAGGGTCTTTAAGTAGATGTGAAGATGGTGGAGGGACTTGAAACAGATGTGAGGTTGGTGGAGGGACTTGAAACAGATGTGAGGTTGGTGGAGGGACTTGAAACAGATGTGGGGTTGGTAGAGGGACTTGAAACAGATGTGGGGTTGGTGGAGGGACTTTAAGTAGATGTGAAGTTGGTGGAGGGACTCGAAACAGATGTGAGGTTGGTGGAGGGACTTGAAACAGATGTGAGATAGGTTGAGGGACTCGAAACAGATGTGAGGTTGGTGGAGGAATTTGAAACAGATGTGAGGTTGGTGGAGGGACTTGAACCAGATGTGAGGTTGGTGGAGGGACTTGAAACAGATATGAGGTTGGTGGAGGAACTTGAAACAGATGTGAGGTTGGTGGAGGGACTTGAAACAGATGTGAGGTTGGTGGAGGGACTTGAAACAGATGTGAGGTTGGTGGAGGGACTTGAAACAGATGTGAGGTTGGTGGAGGGACTCGAAACAGATGTGAGGTTGGTGGAGGAACTTGAAACAGATGTGAGGTTGGTGGAGGAACTTGAAACAGATGTGGGGTTGGAGGAACTTGAAAGAGATGTGAGGTGGTGGAGGAACTTGAAACAGCTGTGAGGTTGGTGAAGGGACTCGAAACAGATGGTGAGGTTGGTGGAGGAACTTGAAACAGATGTGAGATTGGTGGAGGGACTTGAAACAGATGTGTGGTTGGTGGAGGGACTTGAAACAGATGTGAGGTTGGTGAAGGGACTCGAAACAGATGTGAGGTTGGTGGAGGGACTTGAAACAGATGTGAGGTTGGTGGAGGAACTTGAAACAGATGTGTGGTTGGTGGAGGGACTTGAAACAGATGTGAGGTTGGTGAAGGGACTTGAAACAGATGTGAGGTTGTGAAGGACTTGAAACAGATGTGAGGTTGGTGGAGGGACTTGAAACAGATGTGTGGTTGGGTGTAGGGACTTGAAACAGATGTGAGGTTGGTGGAGGGACTCGAAACAGATGTGAGGTTGGTGGAGGGACTTGAAACAGATGTGAGGTTGGTGGAGGGACTCGAAACAGATTGAGGTTGGAGGAGGGACTCGAAACAGATGTGAGGTTGGTGGAGGACTTGAAACAGATGTGAGGTTGGTGGAGGGACTTGAAACAGATGTGAGGTTGGTGGAGGGACTTGAACCAGATGTGAGGTTGGTGGAGGGACTTGAGACAGATGTGAGAACGTAAGGGAAACTAGGAACAGATGTAAGGATGGGTGGGGAATTTGGAACAGATGTAAGGATAAATGAAGAACTGAGAACACATGTGAGGATAGCTGAAGATAAACTATACATATATATCAAGTAGACATGACGACACATGAAACAGGTGTCAACAAAAGGTCAGTGGAATATACCAAGGAACTGTGATAATGTCTCAGTGAAGCCTTTTAAAGAAATTTTAAACAGACATCAGTGGGAACTCAGCGAAATCTAGAACCTACAACAAAAGTTACATAGTCAAACATGGTACAAGTCTCATGACTGTGTCGAGTAATGAATCTGAAACCAGCCCCCCCCCACCACCCAAAAAATCAGAAAGACCCAAAATTTATATGTGTTGTAAGGAACAAATTAAACTCTTCAGATCTTTATAATCTAGACAAATTTATTTTATTCACGCATATATATATATATATATATATATATATATATATATATATATATATATATATAATATATATATATATATATATATATATATATTATATATATATATATATATTTGGAATGGGGCAGAAAGCTGCACAAATGCTGGTCAATAGTTGGAATGGGAATTACGGAACTAGACGGAAAGGCTTTAAAAATGGCCAGGAAAATAAGGAATAAGTACAGAAAAAATAAATTATTACTAGTGAGACTGACAGTACTACAATAATACTGATAATAAAATAATAATAATAATAATATAATAATAATAATAATAATAATAATAATAATAATCATAATACAAAAAGACATTGATTTGGAGAAGTGTGTATGCCTCGGTATATACACCAAGACTTCTCTTTAAAGATTTAAGTATACTTGACCGTGTAGTCGACAGACTTGAAACCTAATAAACCAAAATATAAAACAAAACCAAAACTCGGCCTTAAACCCCTTACTGCACGAATGTAACAAGGCAGTTGTTACCTTAGATAATATAATTAAATGCTTAGAAACACAGGCATTATTGTTTGTAGATTCCATTTACACATGTTATCATACAAAATAGAATTATATAACCACAATTCACAACAAATCCACAATTTAGGGAGGGAGGCTTTGTCGACGTTACGGTCCGTCTGGAGCCATTGTTACGTAGTGATGTCCGTGATGTTCCGAAAGGTCCCCGGAAGGTTTCTCTCTAAATTGTAGGTTAGTTGTGAATTGTTCCAGCCACAGAATTGTGGTTTCCATTCATTATACATCCATAGAGGCCTTATAGGCCATATATATAACTCACCTTATCAGCTACACTGCATATAATTCTCTGAATTTTACAGACCTTCACACAAAATATAATTTCATCTTAAAGATAAACTCCAGGAAAATCTTCACCCTGTTGTAATGACAGTGATTATTATTATAATGATAATAATAATAGTAATCAGAGAGAAGCGTTAAACCCGTAGGAGGCTCATACAGCGCCCAAGACATTGAACAAATACCTTGTCTTCCATGGCTCAAAATTAATTTGCCATAAGGATAAGATCCCACAATGAAGGATCTAATTGTCACCCTTATCACATCTGTTACCTGCATTCATTGTTTACCTGCAACTGTTATACAAATATACATGTATATACTTATATATATATATATATATATATATATATATATATATATATATATATATATATATATATATATATATATATATATATATATATATATATACCCATCTTAAAGCTTCATTTCAGAGCACCAGACTATAGGTACATATTTTCCATGAAACTCTAATTGAATCTTGAAGGATTTGTTTCCCCATGCTTAAGTACATAAGCAAAGTTTGACCTGAGGTGACCTCTGGTCCTCAACACATGGCCAACACCCCCTGAGGGCCAGGTAGGGCGGCCAGAGGTCAAACTTATTAGAAACTGAATAACACAAGAACGTAAGGGAGGGGCAATATTTTTGTTTTACGAACACTGAGATTAGTTGTGTTAGAAAGAGATGGAACACAAGCTGAGAGTCAGCTAATCTAAGTAGTTAAGTTTGAAGCTCAAAAAGCCAGCTTGTGTTCCAGCTGTTGTGTTAATCTTTTATTTGCTTTTTTTTTAAGTTTTATTTGTTTGGTAATAGAACGTTTTCTGATGAATGACAAAACTACTGAATGGCTCATAGGAATGGATGGATGTTTACTGGTTCATTTATATTTACAAACATACACATTCACACACATTCGCACACACACACACACACACACACACACACACACACACACACACACACACACACACACACACACACACACACACGCACACACACACACACACACACACCAGCTAATTAAATACGGATTGTATGTAATTAGTCGTACATTGAATTTCAAAATAAAGCTCGCAGAATCCTGCTTCTCATTCTCAGTGATTGTTGCACACCTCAAATGTATATATTATATATATATATATATATATATATATATATATATATATATATATATATATATATATATATATATATATATATAAAGTCAAAACTATTTTCTTTAAATTTTCTGTAACTTAAATTAAAATATCTTCCTTTTTTTACTTATTTTCTAACACCGATAAAATTTCACTAGGATAACTTTATTTTCCTTTCTTTTAAGTTGGAAAAATCTGAAATTTTTCCTGATTTTTTCCAAACGGCATCAGCTGATGGAGCTCCAGCTCTTCTCTCCGGCTTTCAACCTTCACTAGACCGGCATAGTGAGTTCCTAACCTGTGATAGATGGCCAGTTTCGCCCGCTGCCTTGGACGAAACACGCTAGGTGCACAACGCCTCTGTATTACACACGATGTTTCGCTCTGGGCAGAGATTTATAATGTCACGATTCTTGTTTCTTGTTCATAGTCTCTTATTATGCTTTTCTCATGTTCACCTATTTCTGTATTCTAGCCTCCTTATCTCTCCCTCTCTCTCTCTCTCTCTCTCTCTCTCTCTCTCTCTCTCTCTCTCTCTCTCTCTCTCTCTCTCTATCTATCTATCTATCTATCTATCTATCTATCTCTCCCTGTGCTTATTAGTTGCGTCTCTATCACTTATTCAGACATAAATATTGAATCTTCTCCACTGCCTGATTGGAAGTTCATAATTTATTCCTTCTATGTCCGATTTCCACGAGGTGAATAAAAGGTGTAGTCTGGTTTGTTTATTTTTTCTCCCCTCAGTCTCAGGGGTCCTTGAAATGTGTGCTAGTAAAAGGATTTAAAAGTTTTACCTCTGGTGACTTTGCTTTCACATTCTGACTGGCTCTCTGATCGCGGGTTCTAACCCCACCCATGGTGAGTCTGATTGGCTCCCATCGGTGAGACAGAAAATCAGTTTTGCAGTGGTTGATTTCACACGGAAATTTAGTGTTTTAAAATTTTTTTTTTTGATGTAAGTGTTTCCGATTCTTTGGCCTAGGATAGGTCTCCTGCTGTTGCCTTTCACACTCACGCTCTCTCTCTCTCTCTCTCTCTCTCACACACACACACACACACACACACACACATACAGAGTGGACATGATACATAAAAATTATAGGTAAATATAAAGTAATTGCTCTCAAAAACATCAACAAAAGTTACTCTGACTCTTCAGACATCTAATAAACATTGAAAAGCTCTAATAAATTCTCTTATCTACTTTCCTTATTTATAAATCTAATGACCCTTGATTTCTCGATACTCAATATTTTGGGAATATTTAACATCAGCTATTATTGGGAGTAACACACATTATCCACAATATGGAACTAACGCAAATTACCTGAAGAGGGGATGTCTGGAGGACCGAAAAAATGTGCTGTGTTCATACCGTTGAATGGGAGATATTCTTACACGACATCAGTTTCAATGACCACTTATTTTACGAAGCTAAAAAGTGAATTCTCGTAGGCTGAGAAGAGGCTTTTGTTCACTCCTCCACTGAAAACGGGATGGTCCGGCGGCTCCTGCTGGTGCCGGAGACGTGTTTGTGTGGGCAGGAGTCTTCCTTTCAGCCATTCAGAAGCCAGGTTTTTCTTGTCCTGGTGTTTCTATTGGTCGCCCAGGTGGTGGAGTGTGTGTTTATCCCCGACTCTCAAGGTGACCGAACTGGATCCTCTTGGGTAAAGCTCCTTAACTCCCTCGTGTGGTGGAGATAATGGAGGAGGAAATGCTTGGTAAAAGCAAACAAATGTAACAGAAAGGAAGAAAGACAGAAGGAAAGAGAGAGACAGAGAGATACACAGAGAAGTAGACAGACAGACAGAGAGAAACAGGAAGATAATGATGAGGTGGTACAAGATTTTTGAGACTTTCCAGAGTTGAGATGGAATGGTGGAGAAGAGCAGAGAAAGTGTGAGCAAGAGAGACAATGGAGAAGAGAAGAAGCAACTTAATGTTTCTGATGCTGGGAAGACGAGAGGAGAACGCCTCGACGGAGGCGCTGGAGGAGAGAATTGGAGAGTGAGATGGAGGAGGAGGAGGGGGAGGAGGGTGAACTGAGGGAGAGAGGGAGTGGTGGAGGGTCATACGGTTGTGATGGCCAGTCCGAGGTCACCGCTGTGTTCCACTGTGACCTCTCGTAGTGTGGTCAGAGGTTCCTCCGCGGCTGCTGCCTCACTGCTTGAAGATTGCACGAGAAGTGGAACATGATTAGTCTCTCTCTCTCTCTCTCTCTCTCTCTCTCTCTCTCTCTCTCTCTCTCTCTCTCTCTCTCTCTCTCTCTCTCTCTCTCTCTCTCTCTCTCTCTCTCTCTTTAAACAGAGTTTTACAAACAGGTTAAGAATCCTAATTTTATTGACAAGCTAAGGGCTGTTACCTACATCAGCTCATTTAAAAACCTTTTTATTGTTATGAGACATACAAATAGGGAACAGGATAAAGTTGGAGCCTTCTGTGGGCCAGCAATTTTATTTAATAAACTGACTTTATCTCGTTGATGTCATTATTCTGACATTATTCTCTCTCTCTCTCTCTCTCTCTCTCTCTCTCTCTCTCTCTCTCTCTCTCTCTCTCTCTCTCTCTCTCTCTCTCTCTCTCTCTCTCTCTCTCTCTCTCTCTCTCTCTCTCTCTGTCTCTCTTTCTCTCTCTCTCTCTCTGTTGTAAATCATTAGGTAGTACAAGGTCATTACCATGAAGTGACGTCCTTGTGTGTGTGTGTGTGTGTGTGTGTGTGTGTGTGTGTGTGTACTCACCTATTTGTACTCACCTATTTGTGGTTGCAGGGGTCGATTCATAGCTCCTGGCCCCGCCTCTTCACTGATTGTTACTAGGTTCTCTCTCTCCCTGCTCCACGAGCTTTATCATACCTCGCCTTAAAACTATGTATGGTTCCCGCCTCCACTACTTCACTTTCTAGACTATTCCACGACTTGACTACTCTATGACTGAAGAAATACTTCCTAACATCCCTTTGATTCATCTGAGTCTTCAACTTCCAATTGTGACCTCTTGTGTCTGTGTCCCTTCTCTGGAACATCCCGTCTTTGTCCACCTCGTCTATTCCGCGCAGTATTTTATATGTCGTTATCATGTCTCCCCTGACCCTCCTGGCCTCCATTGTCGTCAGGCCGATTTCCCTCAACCTTTCTTCGTAGGACAATCCCCGTAGCTCTGGGACTAGTCTTGTTGCAAACCTTTGCACTTTCTCTAATTTCTTGACGTGCTTGACTAGGTGCGGATTCCAAACTGGTGCTGCATACTCCAGTATGGGCCTGACGTAAATGGTATACAGAGTCTTGAACGAATCCTTACTGAGGTATCGGAACGCTATCCGTAGGTTTGCCAGGCGCCCATATGCTGCAGCAGTTATCTGATTGATGTGCGCCTCAGGAGATATGCTCGGTGTTATACTCACCCCCAGATCATTTTCCTTGAATGAGGTTTGCAGACTTTGGCCATCTAAACTATATTGTGTCTGCGGTCTTCTTTGCCTTTCCCCAATCTTCATGACTTTGCATTTGGCAGGGTTAAACTCAAGGAGCCAGTTGCTGGACCAGGTCTCTTTGTAGTCCTGCCTGATCCTCATCCGATTTGATTCTTCTCATTAACTTCACATCGTCCGCAAACAAGGACACTTCTGAGTCTATCCCTTCCGTCATGTCATTCACATATACCAAGAACAGCACAGGTCCTAGGACTGACCCCTGTGGAACCCCGCTTGTCACAGGCGCAAACTCTGACACCTCGTCACGTACCATGACTCGTTGTTGCCTCCCTGTCATGTTTTCTCTGATCCATTACAGTGCCTTTCCTGTTATATGTGCCTGATCCTCTAGCTTTTGCAGTATCCTCTTGTGAGGAACTGTGTCGAAGGCCTTCTTGCAGTCCAAAAAAATGCAGTCGATCCACCCCTCTCTCTCTTGTCTTACTTCTGTCACCTTGTCATAAAACTCTAGTAGGTTTGTGACACAGGATTTTCCCTCCCTGAAACCATGCTGGTTGTCAATTATACACTTGTTTCTTTCCAGGTGCTCCACCACTCTCCTCCTGATGATGATCTCCATGACCTTGCATACTATACACGTTAGTGATACAGGTCTGTAGTTTAGTGCCTCATGTCTGTCTCCCTTTTTAAAAATTTGGACTACATTTGACATCTTCCACACCTCGGGGAGTTGCCCAGTTTCAAATGATGTGTTGAAGATCTTTGTTAACGGTACACACAATATCTCTGCTCCCTCTTTAAGGACCCACGGAGAGATGTTGTCTGGTCCCACCGCCTTTGAGGTGTCAAGTTCGCATAGCAGCTTCTTCACCTCCTCCTTGGTTATATGTACCTCATCCAGCACTTGCTGGTGCACCCCCCTGCTCTGATTTCCTGGAGTCCTACTGGTTTCCACTGTAAATACTTCTTTAAATCTTGTGTTGAGCTCCTGACATACCTCTCAGTCGTTTCTTGTGAATTCCCCATTACCCTTCCTCAGTCTGATTACCTGGTCCTTGACTGTTGTTTTCCTCCTGATGTGGCTGTACAACAGCTTCGGTCAGTCTTGACTTTCGATGCTATGTCATTTTCGTATTGCCGCTGAGCCTCCCTTCTTATCTGTGCATATTCGTTTCTGGCTCTTCGGCTAATCTCTTTATTTTCCTGAGTTCTCTGTCTTCTGTACCTTTTCCATTCTATAGTACACCTAGTTTTTGCCTCCCTACACCTTTCGGTGAACCAAGGACTCGTTCTGTTCTTCCCATTATTTCTGTTTCCCTTGGGAACAAACCTCTCCTCTGCCTCCTTGCATTTTGTTGCCACATAGTCCATCATTTCTTGTACTGGTTTTCCTGTCAGTTCCCTCTCCCACTGAATGTCTTGAAAGAAGTTCCTCAAGCCTGAGTAGTTCCCCCTTTCGTAGTTTGGTTTTCCCACCCTATTCCTGCTGCTCTCTCCACTTGGAGCTCAACTATGTAGTCGAAGCACAGAACCACATGATCACTAGCTCCCAGGGGCCTTTCATACATGATATCCTCGATGTCAGAACTAATCAAGGTGAATACAAGGTCCAGTCTTGCTGGTTCATCCTCTCCTCTCTCTCTGGTAGTGTCTCTAACATGTTGTTGCATGAGGTTTTGCAGTACCACATCCATCATCCTGGCTCTCCATGTTTCGGGACCCCCATGGGGCTCCAGGTTTCCCCAGTCAATCTCCTTGTGATTGAAATCACCCATAACTAGTAACTTTGCTCCCCCCATGTGTGCTCTCCTGGCCACCTCGGCTAGTGTGTCGACCATTGCTCTGTTGCTCTCATCGTATTCTTCTCTTGGCCTCCTGCAGTTATGTGGTGGGTTGTACATTACTGCAATTATCACCTTATGTCCCTCAGACTGGATTGTTCCTACTAAGTAGTCCCTTTCGCCCGTGCCATCCATTCCTTCCATTTTCTCAAACCCCCACTGGTTTTAATGAGCAGTGCAACTCCTCCTCCCCCTCTCCTCCCTCTGTCTTTCCTGAGGATTTGATATCCGGATGGAAAGATTGAATCTGTTATTATTTTGGTGAGTTTTGCTTCTGTGAGTGCTATTATGTCTGGGGATGTGTGTGTGTGTGTGTGTGTGTGTGTGTGTGTGTGTGTGTGTGTGTGTGTGTGTGTGTGTGTGTGTGTGTGTGTGTGTGTGTGTGTGTGTGTGTGTGAGTGTGTGTGTGGTGTGTGTGTGTGAGTGTGTGTGTGTGTGTGTGTCTGTGTGGTCTGTTTGGGGTTTATCTGTTTATGTGTGTGTTCGTCTGTTTCTGTCTGTGTACTCTCCTACATGTACTCATTTATATGTGGTTACAAGAGTCGAGTCACAGCAGCTCCTGCTTCTGCCTCTTCGCTGGTCACTACTAGGTACAAGAGCCTTGTCGTACCTCTTCCTCAAACTATGTATGTATCCCGCGTGTGTAAGGCCTCTTAAAGCCCTTATTCCTGACAGCAAGAGTCTTTTTCTGGTTCAACCCTCATTCCTTCGTGAATATACCTAGAGTTATTATATTTTCCATCATCCTTCTATCATCCTGCTATCATCCTGCAGTTACCGTATATTCCCTCCTACTCTCTGCTTATGTACACACAGTTAAAACTGGGTGTTTCAAAATTATGCTCCCAATTTAAAAGCAGTATATATTGAAATTAGGTCCATTATTTCGAAACACCCTGAATATCTTCTGCCTCGCTATATACATGCATAAATTGAATAGTATCTCCCCCTGACGAAGTCCTCCTTATAGGACCTCGTCAGCGCCTTGTTCTCTCGTAACTCGCGTTCAAAGATTCTGAAACACCTTTTCTTCGCATGTCTTCTTTTCTTGCTGTTTTTATATTACTTTTGTTAGATGCTGCGGAGACCCCTCGATCGCGAAGACCCCCTCGCCCGCGGAGACCCCCCTCGAGCGCGGAGACCCCTCACCCGCGGAGACCCCTCGCCCGCGGAGACCCCTCGCCCGCGGAGACCCTCCTCGCCCGCGGAGACCCCTCTCGCGCGCGGAGACCCCTCGGACGCGGAGACCCCTCACCCGCGGAGACCCTCCTCGCCCGCGGAGACCCTCTTCGCCCGCGGAGACCCCTCGCCCGCGGAGACCCTCCTCGCCCGCGGAGACCCCCCTCGCGCGCGGAGACCCCTCGGACGCGGAGACCCCTCACCCGCGGAGACCCCTCGCCCGCGGAAACCCTCCGCCCGGGGAGAGCCCTCGCCCGCGGAGACCTCTCGCCTGCGGAGACCCCTCGCCTGCGGAGACCCCTCGCCTGCGGAGACCCCTCGCCTGCGGAGACCCCTCACCCGCGGAGGCCCCTCACCTGCGGAGACCCCTCGCCTGCGGAGACCCCTCACCTGCGGAGACCCCTCACCTGCGGAGACCCCTCGCCCGCGGAGACCCCTCACCTGCGGAGACCCCTCGCCCGCGGAGACCCCTCACCTGCGGAGACCCTCGCCCGCGGAGACCCCTCGCCCGCGGAGACCCCTCACCTGCGGAGACCCCTCGCCCGCGGAGACCCCTCACCTGCGGAGACCCTCGCCCGCGGAGACCCCTCACCTGCGGAGACCCTCGCCCGCGGAGACCCCTCGCCCGCGGAGACCCCTCACCTGCGGAGACCCTCGCCCGCGGAGACCCCTCACCTGCGAAGACCCCTCGCCCGCGGAGACCCCTCGCCCGCGGAGACCCCTCACCTGCGGAGACCCTCGCCTGCGGAGACCCCTCGCCCGCGGAGACCCCTCGCCCGCGGAGACCCCTCGCCCGCGGAGACCCCTCACCTGCGGAGACCCCTCACCTGCGGAGACCCCTCACCCGCGGAGACCCCTCACCCGCGGAGACCCCTCACCCGCGGAGACCCCTCACCCACGGAGACCCTCGCCTGCGGAGACCCCTCACCCGCGGAAACCCCTCACCTGCGGAGACCCTCGCCCAGCCGAATATTCCAAATTCGTTCACATACGCTATAATAATACTCATTTTAACATCAAATGTAAGAAGTTAACTTTAAAAAGGTAATTACCACAGCATTCAAGTTTCTCACTGTTGTGCACAACTGATTTTCTGGTAACATAATATTGTTCGAAATTAATTATATATATATATATATATATATATATATATATAATATATATATATATATATATATAATATATATATATATATATATATATATATATATATATATATAATAACAACTTGAAGTCACGTGATTATTGTAATTACTTCCATATATTAGTATATAGCTGGGTTCGAGAAAGACCTATCTAGCAAGGGTCAGTAGGCCTACTGCAGTGCTCCTCCATTTTTGCCTATTGAAAGCACAATTTACAATAGACTAGATTACATATATGGAGAAAAAAATATCCACCGTAAAACTGGCACTTACAATACCCATATGACGATGTTTCGGTCCTTACTCGAAACATCGTCAAGCTACGACTAAAAAAAAAAAAATATATTTATCTACTCAATTAAGTCGGAGAAAATTGGACCAAATAGGAAGTAAAATGATTTTTTTTTTATTGGCAAATAACAATTAAGGAAAAAAATAAAAAATATAGAAACACAATTCACAGAGAATTGTACAAAAAAATGGAGTCAAAATAATGGTTGTGAAATTGAAAAGCAAACCGGATGACAGCAAATGATTCACCGGCAGGTGCTGGCCCTGACAGCTGTGCTAGGCAGCCCTGACAGCTGAGCTAGACAGCCCTGACAGCTGAGCTAGACAGCCCTGACAGCTGAGCTAGACAGCCCTGACGGCTGTGCTAGACAGCCCTGACAGCTGAGCTAGACAGCCCTGACAGCTGTGCTAGACAGCCCTGACAGCTGAGCTAGACAGCCCTGACAGCTGAGCTAGACAGCCCTGACGGCTGTGCTAGAAAAGCCCTGACAGCTGAGCTAGACAGCCCTGACAGCTGTGCTAGACAGCCCTGACAGCTGAGCTAGACAGCCCTGACAGCTGAGCTAGACAGCCCTGACGGCTGTGCTAGACAGCCCTGACAGCTGTGCTAGACAGCCCTGACAGCTGAGCTAGACAGCCCTGACGGCTGTGCTAGACAGCCCTGACAGCTGAGCTAGACAGCCCTGACAGCTGTGCTAGACAGCCCTGACAGCTGTGCTAGACAGCCCTGACAGCTGTGCTAGACAGCCCTGACAGCTGTGCTAGACAGCCCTGACAGCTGTGCTAGGCAGCCCTGACAGCTGTGCTAGACAGCCCTGACAGCTGTGCTAGGCAGCCCTGACAGCTGTGCTAGACACCCCTGACAGCTGTGCTTGACAGCCCTGATGGCTGTGCTTGACAGCCCTGATGGCTGTGCTTGACAGCCCTGACAGCTGTGCTAGACAGCCCTGACAGCTATGCTAGACAGCCCTGACAGCTGTGCATGACAGCCCTGATAGCTGTGTTAAACAGCCTTGACAACTGTGCTAGAGAGCCCTGACAGATGTGCTAGACAGCCCTGACAGCTGTGCTAGAGAGCCCTGACAGCTTTGCTAGACAACCCTGACAGCTGTGCTAGAGAGCCCTGTCAGCTATGCTAGAGAGCCTTGACAGATGTGCTAGAGAGCCCTGACAGCAGTGCTAGAGAGCCCTGACAGCAGTGCTAGAGAGCCCTGACAGCAGTGCTAGAGAGCCCTGTACAGCAGTGCTAGAGAGCCCTGACAGCAGTGCTAGAGAGCCCTGACAGCAGTGCTAGAGAGCCCTGACAGCAGTGCTAGAGAGCCCTGACAGCAGTGCTAGAGAGCCCTGACAGCAGTGCTAGAGAGCCCTGACAGCAGTGCTAGAGAGCCCTGACAGCAGTGCTAGAGAGCCCTGACAGCAGTGCTAGAGAGCCCTGACAGCAAGTTGTATCTGTAGTCCTCGCTACTCTGGTACAGGCTACAGCTCACGCACCTCTGGTACAGGCTACAGCTCACGCACCTCTGGTACAGGCTACAGCTCACGCACCTCTGGTACAGGCTACAGCTCACGCACCTCTGGTACAGGCCACAGCTCACGCACCTCTGGTACAGGCTACAGCTCACGCACCTCTGGTACAGGCCACAGCTCACGCACCTCTGGTACAGGCCACAACTCACGCACCTCTGGTACAGGCTACAGCTCACGCACCTCTGGTACAGGCTACAACTCACGCACCTCTGGTACAGGCTACAGCTCACGCACCTCTGGTACAGGCTACAGCTCACGCACCTCTGGTACAGGCTACAACTCACGCACCTCTGGTACAGGCTACAGCTCACGCACCTCTGGTACAGGCTACAGCTCACGCACCTCTGGTACAGGCTACAACTCACGCACCTCTGGTACAGGCCACAGCTCACGCACCTCTGGTACAGGCCACAGCTCACGCACCTCTGGTACAGGCTACAGGTCTCCTGCCGCTAACAAACTGATATATCGTTCCAGACTTCTCAGGTGAACTCTTCTCCAGGCTGAGGGACTGACCACCGCAAATCCCTTTTCTCCAAGGTTGAATGACTGATTACATCATCTTTATTTCTTGACTGAAGAAGCCTAATGTATAGGCGAAACGTTTCAGCAATAAAAATGGTATAAACCGTGGTAATAAATACCGACAAGTTGGTTTAGAAAGACACGTAAGCAAACACTA